ACGCATTCACACTGTTTGTTTGTTTGACCACGAATCCCTTTTACATTTGTGGACCGATCTTCTTGCAAATGGTCTTGAAATTTTCCAAATTTTTCGGGAAAGACTGCTAAGAGGGGTTTTTAAAGTTTTGCCCACCCACGCACCCACCCACGCATTCACTCTTTTTGTTTGTTTGACCGCGAACTCCTCCTGCATTTGTGGACCGATCTTCTTGCAACCGGTCATGAAATTTTCCAATATTTTCGGGAAAGACTGCTAAGAGGGTTTTTTTAATTTTTGCTCACCCACGCACCCACCCACGCATTCAAACTGTTTGTTTGTCCGCGAGTAAATCAGTCATTTTTGGACCGATCTTCTTGAAATCGATCTCTAAATTTTCCAAACGGAGATGGCGCACCCACCCACGCATTCACTCTTTTTGTTTATAATTGTATTTTGTTGTATAAAATTACTGGAAAAGACAAAATACCCCAAAAAATAAAAAAATTTCAAAATCAGTTTCGAGGTCTCCATGTACAGGGAAATTATGGTCCGATTTTTGTGAAATCGGTACAAAATGTTGCAAATTTTTCGGAGAAGAATTTCCCGACTGAGTTTTTAAAATCTGTGACACCCTCTGGAATGCCAGTTCATCGACTCAAAATAAAAATAAGTGCTACAATTATTCTATTAAGGAATTTTTATACCAAGAAAGGACTATGCAATGGCACAGGATTCATTGTTATTGATCTAAAATCTAATCTGATTCATGCTTTTACTAGCTTTTGAGCCCGCGCGAAGCGCGGGCTCAAAAGCTAGTATTACATATTCCTATATGTATAAAAATACAGTATTTATTTTCATATCATATTACCAAATTGGGTAAATGTTAGCACAAGAGTTAGTACGGAGAGAACACTCAAACGTAGATCAAAAGAACTGAGCCCTTATTTTAGCGTACAAAAACCTAAAAGAAAGTAGCTGAGAATGCAGCTCTCGTGGGAAGAAAAACATAGGTACACAAAAGATAAGCAATATGCCTAAAGGATATATACCTAAAACTGTTGACTTGAACGCGCCCGATTATTGTGTGAGGAGATTATCCAACAGGGCGCCGATTGATAATCCCCAACAGTAAGCTCATTAATTAATGAAATACATGGTATCTCCACCATCACAGACAACACGTAAGAGCAAGGAAAAATGATTGTAATATATCCCGCAGCCATAACAACCTGGGGACAAAGTTAAAGAAAATTAATAAACTTTTTAGCATATTCTTCTGTTAATACTCAAATTCATATTCGTATACATTTATCATATATTCATTCTTTCATATACTTACTAAAGACAGACATTCAAAATGCATTGGCGTCTCACTGTATAATTGAATCGATTGTATGATAATCGGATTTAAAAGAAAAGCGCAGTACGTGAGTCTGCTAAGAGGGATCCATGTTTTTAATGACAGGAACCGATTAACAATACCTAGAACAAAAACCAACGTACAATAAGAAAATGACATGTTTCGAAACTATTATATAAGATGCAACTTGAAATGTAATAAACTGCCATTACATTGAAACAATGTTAATTTAATAAGAATTTATATATTAGTAAATGAACAAACCTCCGTGTTTAGTGGAGCACGCTATCACAATCCCTGTTATACCTATTGCCCAAAATATTCTGTGTAGTGCTACATAAATAGCAGAAACTAGAATGGATACGTGTCGCTTGTAAATTACTATTACAAATAATACGTAAACGATGCAAAGGCTAGCAAGGAACCAACATAAGATTATAACTTTCTGAAATATAAGTTAAATTAGTTCTTTTGAGCAGTGTATAATAGGCATCTTTCCCACCTTAATTTTTTTAGTAGAGTGTACGTCATCTTTTATTACGGAAAGATACGGACAGAACGTACTGCGTGAAGTGTTACGTCAAAACCTCTTGGAATGTGGAGGTATGGAATGACGCAACTAGCAAGTTTCAATGTCTCGCTAACACGCTCGAAGGCGCGTGGAAGCGAGCCGAACGCACTTTCCAAAGGCTCTAAAAAGGTCAATATCCGCGAGGACACTATGACTCTTTTCAAGAGCGGTGCGATCGCAGGTCCTAATTTTAGGTCAAGGAAATTAATCCCTATTACCCTGGGACGGACCTTGTGCACTCTCAAAGGGGAACGAAGGGGGTGAGGAATAAGAGAAATAAAATAAAAATTAGAAATAAAATAAATGAGAAAGAGATAGGTTTAACATAACATTATATTTACGATTTGTCTATATCTAGACATTACATTAGAAATAAAAAAAGATAATTTTAACTAAACATATTATTAGAGCAGCCATTACACTAGAAGGTTTTTACTTGACATTTTATTTAGAGAGAAAAAATAAAATAAAATAAAAGCTAATTTTAACCAACTAAAAGGGATAATTTTAACAAACAGAAGATTTTTCACTAGGTGTTATTTACAGGTACATTAAATTGTGTTAACGCTATATGTACATTGGATTGTCGGATTTTTACACATTGCGGATGTGATTGTGTGCGTATTTATATGTGTAGGGGTGTGAGGGATTTATTTGTGGTTTTTTATAATAGTGGAAGAAGGGGGGAAAAGGATGGATACGGGCCTGGGGTACCTCTCTCCGGGAATATAGACCGGGATGAATCTATCAGGAGGATTGGAGCGAACTCTGTCAAGGAGTTCAGGGATGTCTAAAATTTCAGGGCCTATGGTGAAGGTCCCTGGTGGGAGAGGACGGGTGCGAGGAGGAATTTCGCGGATTAAGTTATAAAATTGCTCGAATGTAATCCGTGGGCGAGTGAGAGAAGGAGGTTCGAATTCCTCGATGATCTCTATACTAGAGATCGAAGAGGCAGGGGACGGAGGCCTATTATCGAAATCCGGGAGTTCGGAGTGAGAGGATTCAGGCTCGCACAGGTAGGGAGGAGGATCTCGTGGAGAGGAAGAAGAGGGTGGAGGGTCCTCGGTCTGACGGTCGGGACGAGCACAGAGGGGGGAAGAGGGAGGAGAGGAGTCGCAGTTTTGAACGGGTGGATCGGGTTGTTCCTGAATATGATTTTGCGCGGCTAATAGACGCGCGCGCCGATTCCTCCGATTCCTCCTTCTCTTTACTACGGCTCGCGACTTCCGCCTGGGCTTTGGATGTGGATCCCGTGAGTCCACTAAAATGAATCGAGTTAGGGAGGACGGCTAGAGTTTTTGTTTATTAATAATTTATGAGTGGATAATTTCAGGATGAGGGTTTAGAAGAGAAAGCGAGTCGTATCGGATTCGCACTAAAAGCGGAATCCAGGGGCACAAAACGAATTCTCGTAGGATGGAGATCTTCGAATCGTGTCGGATTCACGCTAAAGCGGAATCCAGGGGCACAAAACGAATTTTTAGTGAGTGGATATTTTTGGAGTTAGTTCGCAAGAGGATGGACGAGATAGTTAAAATCTCTAGCGAAGGTCCCTCAGAATAAAAAAATAAAAAATAATAGGGGGAAAGGAGGTCGTCGAGCCGAAACAAAATGAAAGGAAAAGAAAACGTGTGACTTACTACTGATTGAGATCGATGGTGGATTACGTCTGGTAAATGGTTTGAAGGCGGCTGGCTCAGATTGGTGGTCCGTCGGCCGAAATCGCGCACAGTTTTTTAGTTGCACGGAGTAGTAACTGAGTTAAATCGAATTGAAATCGCGAGGTACGGAGATAACTGCACTAGTGGAGTCGGGAACAGCCAAAGAGTCTGAGCCAGCAGGCTCCGGGTTTATATACAATTTTTCGGGGGTGGATCTTGGTCATGGGACGTGGAAGGAGATTTTGGATTTTGGTTCTTCATTGGTGGACTATTGGGAGGTGTCAAGGAGTTGTCTTTCTTATTGGCAACCCGACCATTAAGTCGTTGTCGCCCTTTGATATTTATTTATGGACATCATTTCCTTCAGCGACTTTCGAAAAATCCGACTTTCGAAAAATCGAGTTTCACTTTTGGGTCAAGTTTTTGGTCAACATATCTTTTTTTGAATCCCCTTTTAGTGTCTCGGATCGTACTTAAGTATAATATTTTGGAAATCTGAATTTCGAAACTGCCGTCTGAAGGGACCTGATCCCATCCTGTCTGTTATTTCTCCCCTTTTTATTATATCAACGGCTATCGACCAGCAACAATCAGAGCACTTTACGTTTCGAGTTTCGAAAAGTGAAACTCTGACAATCAATTTTTAGTGGGGAAGGGACTCGTGCGTTGGCTAGTCGATATCCCCTGATTTCTAAAATTGTAGTTTCCAAGTGAAGAAAAACATGTTTCTTATGGTTTTTGAAAGAGAGAAATCGTGGAGTCCACAGGACGTAACAGAAGAATTGACCACATAAAGTAATGAAAATATCTTTTATAAATCTCTAGATTTTAAATAGGTTTTATTCAAATTTTCGAAAGTTTTATACTATGGTATAACATCATCGTTGCCTAGTAACGTTTATTCATGTAGAACTTTGAAAACAAAACAAGCTTATTTTTATTGAAAACAAAAAGCTATACAATCTGCATATCAAAATGGAATACACTTTCAGTGATGTGTATTTAATGTATGGACTTGTATACACAGTAATTCTTCGAAAGCTTTTTAGCCATAATTTTCCAATTAAATGAAGAATGATTTCCGAGTCAAAGAACTCCTAGGCGAAGAACTTTGATCGAACTGTGAGAGAAATCGGTAAAAAGTCATGAATCTTTCGTCTAAATATTAAATATTTACAACAATGTTTCGGGCTGCGTGTGTATTTGGCGCCCTTTTTGGTGCCCTTTTTAAAATAGTAAGATTTTATAGATATGCATTATACCATAATATAACATTGCAGATGATAATTCAGTCGTATCAAGCGAAGCAATATTTATAAACGACTGGGAACGCGCAAGGATTAGATGAGGCTTATAACGTCTACAGAATTAGATTTCTTCGAAACCGAGAATTCGTCGTTTTAACTGGACTCGCATTCTCACCAAAAGTTCCGGATGTACCTATCTCTACTCTAGCTAGTCGACTAAGGCTCGAAGTTCCCGAGAAGTTCAAGCTTCGACAGAGGACAGTCGGGCGTCTTAAGACGGGGGAGGGGTCGTTGGGGATTCAAAGTTATTATCTGTTGGTAGCAGAAGGTCGAGGGTTGCCCCTTTTTGACCCCTTCTCGCCTGACAAAGTATTTATTCCGCTTCTAGCAATGGCGAGTGCTATTGAAGCCAGTCCCGTGCTAACTTATAATCGTTTTTAGCTTTCTCACTGCAGGATAAGTGGATGGGAAAACGTCTAGTGTAACGTCGGATTAAAGTCTTTGTAAGCTCTGAGTTCTCTCGCGTGTACAAGTGCCTCGCAAGAGGGTTACATGACTGATAGAAATATGAAAAAAAGAAATATAAATGCCAAGCCAATAGTAATGTTACTATTAATGCCAGTATCAATAATAAAATTATTAGTAGGTATATCATAAAAATTTATAATATTTCCGTAGGAGATTATTTTTGTGAAAAGTAAATTCTGTTAATTATAGAATAAATATTTCTCTTTTATATAGGGCAAATAGTATTCATTTCTGTACACAGAACTTTAAAAGTAGATAAGATTAATTTTAGTTATTAACATACATGAATTACATAAAACAAATATGTTTAAAAGATTGTTAATTTTCCATATAAAATGTATAAGTTTATATAATACATTATTAAATATCATGATTTTAAAAGCGTTACGTAAATTATGTCTATGTATAAAAATATCTTCAGCTTCTCGATTTTTAAATAAATGTTTCTGTATATTACTATAAAATTCTGATT